GGGGGTCAGCAGTGGGATGGCTTCTAATGTCCTGGCCCCACTGGTGCACCTCCTGATGGCACTGGTATTTCTGGCCACTGTGTGATACAGAGTGTTGGACTGGATGGGCCTTTGGCCTGATCCAACATTGGCATCTCTTATGTTCTTATGTTCTTATGTTCTTAAGGACTGTGTCAGTGTGGTTCAATACAGTGGGACTTCAGCAGGGTGCAAGTGGATTCTTGGTCTGAAAGCTGACCTGGGGACACCAGGAGCGCACTCCGTGACAGTCCCACCATACTGAAGTGATCTTTCAGCAGTAACTACACCACAGTGGTGGTCCGGCCTCTGGCTGTCAGTGTTATGGGGCCATTTTTCAGCAATGCCATTTACATCCAAATATCTGAATTCTTTCAAGAGCTTCTCACTAATGACAACTACAGGGTTTTCCTATTAATTATATAGTAGGTCTGTTATTTAATAAAGTTCACAGTGGCCGACATTCTGAGTCCTTTAAAAGTTCACCTGTAAACCGGAAGATAAAAGCATGGGGTGGGTTTGTTGTTGGAAGGTTGATCTTCTGTTCTGTGAGGTAGGTTGGTCTGAGCATATGTGTCATTCATTATATCACTTTATGTCCCGTATATCTCCCTGCAGGTTTAAACTGCAGGGTTTTATGCCAGACGTAAAGCAATGTAATATTGAATTGACCACTAGAGGGAGAGCAAAACACATGTGGAACAGAAAAAAATCCCTCAAAGGAGCAGGAACACACAAACGAGGAAAATGAGAATGCAGAAAAGCCCCTAGTCTGACACTCTAACCACTCTAGGAACTATACCCCTCTGGCTCTACTTCTTGTTTCTCCCCCACTTCTACTCAATTACTTGTTTGCTTAGGTGCACATAATTCCTTTTAATGTTACGATGACAACATTACGGGTTTCCCTGATATATATGCAGGGTTGCATGTTATCCTGATTCATGCTTTTATTTCCTCTGTTGCGTGAGATGCTGGCTTGGTGGCTTCCTCCTCATCTCCGTTTCTTTTTTGGCAGCAGTCTCAGCCGTCGTCTATTTCTGGAACTCCTAATTTAATTACCAGTTAAGAGGCATCCAGTTTCTTTCCTTTGTTGGGTATGGCATTGTTAGACACTCAGGGGAAAGCGGGTGTATGTGGTGTACAAAAGAACTGTAGAAATGGCCAGGAGCCTTAAGGAAATGTGGAAAAGTCACGTGGGCATTTTTACAACGGGGAGGGGATGGTCACAACGTACATGAGGATATTTCATGGGACGGGGAGGCTTTTCAAAAGGAATTGGTGTCATCCAAGAATCTCTGTAAAAATATATCTTCACGTGGGCTTAGATTGAGGATGGGGATAGGTAAATCAAGCAGCCATGGAACATACGGAAGACCGCAAAACCCTCAACACTGAACCTCAGCGGCAGGGGTCATTTCGTAGAAAAAGAGCTAGGGGAACTCATTAGCATAACTCATTAGCATATGCCACACCCCCTGACATCACCAGAAGTGTCCAAATCCAAACAAAACAGACCTCCCAGTAATCACACAGCCAAGGAAACAAGACAAAACTGGGGCCAGCAGGCAGGGGTGGGGAGAGGCAGGGAGGAAGCAACTTACCCTCCCTCTTCTCCTGCCTCCTCCTGGCTGAATGAGGGCCGGAAGCGGGGCGGCCGGAAGCAGGGGGCAGGGCTTCGTCATGTGCCCCGCCCCCCGTACCTCACCCGGGGGAACTGTGTTCCCCCGTGTTCCCCCCCGAAATGACCTCTGTTCAGCGGCCTTGCCAGATTTTATTCAGGGTTCCTCATAAGAAAAAGAAGTAATCTGTGAGTGTGTCATATACATGTTATGTCATTGTTCTCCAGCGTAGATTTGGTAAAGGCTCAAGAGAACAGCCAGTTAAGTCTGCTTCATGGAGCACGTTTGTTCCTCAGTTTCCCCACTAATGATAATCTGAGTGCATATGCAGTTTACTGGTGGAGTCCTGACAGTAAGCACTCGGAGATGCCAGCCAGGTTGTGAGAATGTCAGGTTGTTCTAGGTCCAGACTAGTTTGGTAACCTCCTGGCCATACAGAAGTTGGCCGTGGCCTAGGAGCAGGGGTCATTTCCTGCAGGAGCGCACAGGAGCGGAGCTCCGGCAGTAAGGAGGCCAGGGGCAGGCACATGCAACAAGCCCCGCCCTCTGCTCCCAGCAGCCCTCAGTTGGGCCACAAGGAGCACGTCCCCCCCCCATAGCTAGCAATTCAAAACAGTCCAGTGGCACCTTTGAGACCAAGTTTTATTCAGGTACAAGCCCTCCTGCCTCTGCGAGGACAGATCTGCATGTTCCCCCCCCCCCAATAGCTAGCAATCCAAAACAGTCCAGTGGAGCCTGAGTGGTGCCTTCTGACACACTTCCAGTGATGTCAGGGGGTGTGGCATATGCAAATGAGTTATGCTAATAAGTTATGCGAATGAGCTCCTACACCTCTTTTTCTACGAAATGACCCCTGCCTAGGAGTAGGCATCTGAGAACCTGATTGGGAAAAGCGCTATGCTGCATTTCTTGGGCAACCCATAATCTCATGTTAAGCAGGTAACTCTTCTCTGCTGTAATAACTGAGCACGTTTCTTAAAAGTTTAACAAACTGGACTGTTAAGCCACACGCATCATAGTTCCTGTACGATTGCAGGTGGTTTGAATCTGAAACGTGTTTCTCCCAAAGGGCCAAATAGCACTGCCTCCCCCTGGAGCATTTTAGGTCCGGAAAATGACATTAGAGAAAAGGTGGTGCCCCCCACTCCATACGTCACATGGCCCTGATCTGACTTGCATACCCTCCTGTGTAGGAATTTAGGAGAACCCACAAATCACATTTGATACAGGGCAAAGACCCTGAAACTTGTATATGCTGTAATGTGTGAATTGGCCCAGTCACTGAGACATGGGATTGGGTGTGCCTGTTCTGCAGACTTAAACTGGTCTTCCTCTTTCCAGGGAAATCTGAGAACTGATGTTGGGTGGGTGGGCTAGAGTTTCCAATAAAGATCTGGCTGAATCCTCACCAGACTTCAATTCCCTGGATTCTTTGGGGAAAGCACCGAGAGTTAAAGTGATTTTCCAAGACTGTAATTGTAAGGATTTCGTCATAAATGGAATAGTTCAATGGTTGATGTAATATTTTTTGTGATCTCTGGACCAGTACATAAAATTGGAAACTTGCAGCCCCACTATGGTGTTTGACAATGGACTGAACTCTTTGCATTTTTCAGTAAGCTCAGAGCATGTATGTTTATCAGCTTTTGCATCCCCTTGCCTCTTAACAGTAAAATAGAAAAGATACCTGCATATAATATATGACCTTTATTGATCCATTACTTTTTTTCTTTTACAGATAATTCTTGTAAGTTCCTCCCAAAGTGACCGGGACCAGAGTCTTTTTATTAGCACAGACGAAGGAGCTACTTTTCAAAAGCAGCCCATCGATTTCTTTGTGGAAACACTGATTTTTCATCCCAAGCAGGAAGACAAAGTGCTTGCCTTCACTAAAGACGAACAGGTAAAAAGTTCAGAAGCATTATGTGACCTTATGTGCATCATCTCCAAATGTGATTATTGAAATATTTTCTAAGAAGTTTAGAAGCATATGATTCAATTACTATCAGCCAAATGTGATTATTGAAATATTTTCTAAGTTTAGAAGCATATGGTTCAATCACTATCACTGCAGCTCTGAATAGTTACCCCCTCTAAGCCCATTGACTTCAATGGACTTGGAAGGGTGTAGCTCTGTTTGGGATGGCACTGAAAGGTTGCAGTCCTCTGCGTACTTAGGGCTCTTCTGCATCCTCTTTCTCGTCACGTTTGTGTCACTATTGCTTTGGGGTTTGTTTCCTTTTTTGCACGCATTTTGCTTCCTCTAGTGGTTGATTTGATATTACATCGCTGTATGTTGAGGATATTTTCCTGCACTGTAAGAAAATACTCTGAACATATAGTGATGTAACATCGAATCAACCACTAGAGGGAGCAGAACACATATAGTGATGTAACATCGAATCAACCACTAGAGGGAGCAGAACACATGCGGAAAAGAAAAAAAGAACCCGAAGCAATACGGACACACAAGCAACAAAAATGAGAATGCAGAAGAGCCTTTAAGTAACCCCATTAATGTTGAGGGGCACGATTCTCAGTAGATATGAATAGGATTGTTGCAGGCAAATATGCCACATAGTTTAGCTCTGGAAAAGCATCACCCGTGTCTTGGGGCCATGCAGTGTGTGTTGGATCACAAATGTAGGCATGTTTTTGCTGACTCAGAATGAACATTACAGAAAGCACTCTTAACTGATTCACACACCTCATATCTTTACCATTAAGTAGTTGAAAGATCTTTAAAACTGGCTTGAACTCCATTTATTTTTATTTTTAATTATTTGAACGAGAAGCTCAAAGTTAGCAGATAACTTGTAATGGCAATCCTTGATTCACCACAAGCTTAATGATCCTTTTATAATTGTTTCCATTCATGCTTTACTAAATACTGCATTCTATTGTTTCAATCTTCAATAAAACTAATTTAAAAAAAATGTAGGCACATCACTTGATGTCCCACAGCTGAAAGTGTGAAGGGACTCCCTTGAAAATTATGTTCGAGGTGACATCGGCTGGTCTGAGAGTGATGTTAGATCTCTGATGATTTGTCAGAACATTCACCATGTGATTGATGGATTTACTTCATTTGTACCCCATATTTCTCCCCATTCTCCTCTCCTCCTTTTTACCTTCAGAATCACCTGTGAGGTGAGTTAGGCTGAGGGCATGTGACTGGCCTAAGGTCACCCAGCGAGCTCTTCCATGGCAGATTGGAGATTCGAACCTGGGTCTCCCAGATCCTAGTCTAGCCACCACACCATGCTGGCCCTCCACGAATGTGGCAAATGTGCATGTGTAAACAGTCCAGTATCACGAAGGCAATTTCTTTCCCTCTCAGTCATATTTTGTCCATATTCAGTTGTACCTATAATAAACAATAAAAACAGTTGTACCTATAATAAACAATAAAAATTATCGCACTCAGTAAATAGTAAGCCCTTCCCTCTCCATTCCACATTCTCCTCAGTCTCAAAACTCCTTTGTTGCACTGTTGGCGGGAATGATTAAATAAGAATTTTACTAAATGACTTTTGGTATTTTTGCTTTAAGCTCTATGTATCGACTGACTTGGGGATCCAATGGACTCTTCTTCAGGATCACGTCTCAAAAGATCATATTTTTTGGTAAGAGACGCATAGTGTTGCTTGCTAGGAAAGTGTGAAAGACAAGATTATCTGAGAAAAAGAATGCTTCTCTGTCTTGGAGGATGATGATACGGCCATGGACCAGCATATCTTTGAGACCGCCTCACCCTATATGAGCCTAGCTAGGCTCAGGGGAAACAGCCATGGCCCAGCTCCTTCCCACGGCTGTTTCAGATAGCAACCGCTGAGTGAGTGGTAGAGGGAAACAGATAAAACTGTCGGATAAATTCTGGTAATGTCCCTCCATGGTTCTCTGAGAAACTTTTTTTGCTTTGTTACTGAGCTGCCAGAATCCACATTAAATTTGTCAGAAAATAACTTTGCCTGGGGAGATTAGAGCCAGAAACGCCATCCACCATCTGAGCCTTAGTGAAGGCGCCTGCTGGTGGTCTTTCTGCTGGGTAGCCAGGCAAAGAAAGGTTGGGGGGAGTTGTAGGAATGGAGCCTTTCAGCTAGGACTGTTTTGTTGCGCTGACATCTTCCTGCTGTGGACAGGTCATCTGGCCACCAGCAAGTCACATCCTGTCAGTCACAGCGTTCTTATCTGTCAAATGGAATACATTTTTAGGAGACACTGTGTCACTGCTTGGCTGTCTTGGAGCAAGTCACTTTTCTCTGAGCCTTTAAAAAAATGGTAGTCCTATTGTGCAGAAGGCTTCTGCTCTTGGTCGTATTGAGGAAGCTTCTTAAAAAAATGGTAGTCCTATTGTGCAGAAAGCCTGCTTTGTAGCCCATCAGAACATCTAATTCCCCCTCCCCCACTTTGGGTCAAGAAAATGGGGTGTTGGGGGAAAGCAACTAAGTCCAAAATCCTTCCATTTTATTCAGTGCCTATAGCAATCCCATGGTAATTTTAAATGTTCTTATGTTCCCAGGTCTGTTGATGGAGTTGACCAAGACCCTAATTTAATTTACATGGAAATCCAGGATGCTGATGGAGGTAGGAATTGGAATACAGAAAGCCATTTCTTGATATGTTTTTAAAGGGGCTTTTCTACATTCTCATTTTCCTCATTTGTGTGTTCCTGTTTCTTTGGGGAGAGGGGGTTCTGTTACACATGCATTTTGCTCCCTCTAGTGGTTGATTTATATTGCACTGGTTTATGTCTGGCGTATCTCCCTGTAGATTTAAACTGCAATGTTTATATAAACCGATGTAATACCAAATCAACCACTAGAGGGAGCAAAATGCATGAGGAGCAGACATTCCCCCAAGAAACAGGAACTTACAAGTGAGGAAAATGAGAATGCAGAAAAGCAAAAGTCTTGGTTAGATTAACACACAACTGGGAAGCTCATTCTTCAGCTGCTATAAATTAGTTTTATCAATAAGCATTTAGCAAGGCTGGGTACTAAGGCTGGGTATGTGGCCAGTGTCAACTTGATCCACTAGTTCTTTGTTTGGAGGGGGGGGTTGCATTAAACTTTGGTTTAATGGTCTCAAAATCTGTGACAGATCTGTGACAGAACTGACAGATTTTGGTCAGTTTGTTTCCATTTTAAAAAAGGGCTACTGATTTTAATAACCAATAACTTAAACTGCCATGAAACAAATAGTCCATAAACATTCCTTTCCTTCTGAAGCTTTTCTGTTTTTTCTTATGGCTTTTCACGCAGGAAAAGTTCGATTCTAAACTGGCAAACGTGAATGCATATATTGCGAAAGTATGTGTTGGTGTTAGAGCAAGGAATAGAGTTCACAGTGTTTGTATTATGAAGTGTTCACTTACCCTACAAAGATGGCACATGATTCACTTTGGACTAAGATAAGACTTTGTGTCACAGACTTTTTTTCCATCCAAGGCCACCCAATGCATCAGGGCGCCTAGCGCTTTGAGAACAGATCGTTCTCAATTACAGAGGAGATGAGTGGCATTTCCAATGTTTTGCCTGCTGGAGGCCTGTACAGTATCTAACAATAAAGTGCTGGCTCCCGTGTAGATAATAAATGCCTCAAAACAGGGCCAGGCATGGGGAAGAAAGGCTTCTGTACAAAAAATTATGCCTTCTCATTCGCCCCCACAAAGGGAAGGAAACACCAATTTGCGAATGACACTCAGTCTATCTTGCACTCCCAGCAGATCTCAAGGAAACCGTGGAAGCCAAGAACAGGTGCCTGAATGCAGCTTTAGGATGGAGGAGGGTTAATAAGACGAAATGTGATCCTGATTCAATGGAGGTGCTACTGGTGGGGGGAAGGGCTGATCCAGGAATGGAGATGTCTGCTGTTCTGGATGGGGCTGCACTCCCCCAAAAAGAGCAGAAGAAGAAGAAGAGGAAGAGATTGGATTTATAGCCCGCCCTTCACTACCCAAGGGCGTCTCAGAGCAGCTTACAATCTCCTTTCCCTTCCCCTCCCCACCACAGACACCCTGTGAGGTAGAAGAAGAAGAAGAGATTGGATTTATAGCCCGCCCTTCACTACCCAAGGGCGTCTCAGAGCAGCTTACAATCTCCTTTCCCTTCCCCTCCCCACCACAGACACCCTGTGAGGTAGAAGAAGAAGAAGAGATTGGATTTATAGCCCGCCCTTCACTACCCAAGGGCGTCTCAGAGCAGCTTACAATCTCCTTTCCCTTCCCCTCCCCACAACAGACACCCTGGGAGGTAGGTGGGGCTGAGAGAGCTCTGACAGAAACTGCTCTTTTTCAAGGACAGCTGAGCCAGAGCTTGTGACTGACCCAAGGTCACATCAGCAGGTGCAAGTGGAGGAGTGGGGAATCAAACCCGGGTCTCCCGGATTAGAGTCCGCGCACTTAACCACTACACCAGCAGGTCTGTGGTCGTCGACAACCCGTGCTGCTCCACCGCAGAAGCGAAGTTAAAAGACACCGGGGAAAGTCCGGTAGTAAATGGGTTCCGGCGGGCCACGGTTGGACTTTCCCCAGTCTGATCACTCAAGCCCGCTCTCAAGCCGTCAGGATGGTCTGATCAGGCCATCCCGGCTGCGTGCGTCCCCCCCCCCCTTCGCAGTATGCTCATCGTTGCATACTCCATAGGGGACCCTCAGTGCAGAGGTGCAATTCCTCGTTTATGCACATGGGAAACAAGCGGCCAAAAGACCCCGACTCACCCACAGTTGCGTCTGATCACACAGTAACGCGCTGCACCCACAGTTACAAAGGGAGGTGTGATCTCCCAACTGTGTGACAAATTCTTCCAGAGGGAATAGCCTCGCTTCCCCTCTGCTTCAACTGGCGCATGTGACCGCAGCCATAGTTTAGATTACTGCATTGCATTCTGCATGGGGCTGCCTGTAAAGACTGGAAGCTACAGTTGGTACAGAATGCTGCAGCTGGAGTGGATTGTAGGGACCATGAGGAATTTCACATTACCCTTTTTAACCCGTTTTGAAGCCGTTTTTGATCCGTCATGGAGTAAACCGGTATAAGGCTGCCATTTCATACATGGCTTTCCCCTTCCGGTAAAGAGATGGATCTGAAGCAGTTTGCCATTTCAGACTGCCCCCCTCTTTTCCCCCGCCATTTTTCGCCCGTGCGGGCGATCTCCGGCTTTTTTTTAGAACGTTCGCTTTATAGTGCTATAGCGCTATAACAAAACACTCCAGTCATTCCACTGGGGTCGATAGACTGCTGTTCCGTTATAGCGCTATAACATTTTTTTAAAAAAGCCGGAGATCGCCTGCGCAGGCGAAAAACGGCGGGAAAAAGCGCATCGGAATCAGGAGAGGAAACTGAAGACTACTTGGAAGCGGTTGACAGGTAAAATGCTTAAGCCCCGTTTCCTAAATGGGACAGAAGCGTTTGTGTCTGAAATTACAAATATATTCCAGTAGGGAACCGGTTCTAAAACGGTTCTGTCTGAAATGACAGACCAGAAACCGTTTGGGAACCGTTCCTCTTCCGGATTGTCTGAAATTCCTCAATGTCACTGCTTCCAGGCCCAATTCAAGGCCAGGGTTTAGGACAGTCGGCCACAGCAGGAGAGTAGTCAGGAACTGACTTCCTGTCCCCTAGCCCAGCCCTCTGCTCTGAGGAGGGGGAGAAGAAGCCGCCGTCTTCCTGCCCCACATTCAGCTCCTCGGAAACCGTAGCTACTTGCCTCGTTTGCTTCAGTAACTTCCTACTCGGAAGGTCCGAGAAATTACTATTTAAAGAAGACAGATGCTGAGGAAGACAGATTGGTGCGATGCCTTGGCGTGAGATTTCTCCTACCTCCACCCACTGGCCTAAATGCTGGTGGAAGAGAAGCCCATCGCAGACAGTATGAACGGTATGACAAACACAACCCAGTTGTCAGATAGAGCTTTTGTGTCATGTACCGTATGTTACCATCGCGGCTCAGTTTAGTAAGCTGCTGTGTGGAAAGAACGCCGGCACGTATGAAGCAGCATGTCTGGTATCTATTTGCAGTCTGCCCGTGAAACGTTTTGTGTTCTCTTCAGATTTTCGCTACGTGGTCTGTCCTTCTCACAACTGCTCTGGTGAACAGCTGGGAGCCCCGTTCCTTGGCCACATCGACCGCAACTCCTTGACAGTGCAGGATGACTACATATTCCTTCAGGTAATGTCCCCACCAGCAGACAGATCATAGAATGGAGGTATGTTAACAGGGCCCTGACCTGGATAGCCCAGGTTAGCCTGATCTTGTCGGATCTCGGAAGTGAAGCAGGGTCGGCCCTGGCCAGTATTTGGATGGGAGACCACCAAGGAATACCAGGGTCTGTATGCAGAGACAGGCAATGGCAAACCACCTCTAAGCGTCTCTTGCAGAAAGCTAGCATGCTAGATAGGGAATGCCTGTGAGCATAGCCTCCTACCGCACTTATCAGGGTCACAGCTTTGCTTTGTCTCAGTTTGACATTTGAGCACTAAGTTGACCCTACACCTGCTTTATGGATGGATGAATGGGAGAGATTATTCAAAATACAGCACAGTGTGATTTCCCTTTGGTGACTGAGATATCAGACTGGAAATTGGCAAACGTATCCAGGGCACAGCTCTGCTTTTCAACACCTCCCCCCCAAAAAACCGAATTTTCAAGGAAAGGCATAAAATGCGCCATAATGCAATAACTGCTTCAAAATCAACAAGTTGGAACCGTGTGTGTGTTTACAAAATAATTCTCTGCCGCTTGAACCCACACGTTCTTTGCCAAAGCAGAGAGAAAGAGGGGGACCTCTCCCACAAAATATATCGTAATGAGATCCTTACCATCAATGCTGCAATACTGGAATGAAAACTGGGGTGTGTTAAGAGAATTTTAGTTCACCGTTAAGAATTTAGGAAAGATTTAAGACCTTCGCAATAACTTTGGTGAGCCTGAAGATTGGATCTGTTATCTTGTGGATTGATTTGCTAAATTTTAGGTTGTTCCTGCCCTTTTTTCACCCGTACCAGGGCTTTTTTTCTGGAAAAAGAGGTACCAGAACTCTCAAGAGGGAAATGAAGTTTTCAGTCTGTATACTGATCTCATGAATGTTTAAACATTCTTAAAAGAATTTTGTTGAACAGGTTCCGGAACTCCTTTCTGGCGCATTCCACCAGAAAAAAAACCTTGACCCTTACTCAAAATCTGTTCTTTAATCTCATGGTCTCTAAGCAACTATACTTCACTCAAGTTCAGGTGCCATTCTTATCTTTCAGGGAAAGTGTATAAAGGCCGCGGTCACACGGAGCATTAGGCACGCAAGAGGGATGGAAGAGAGGCGGAGTTTCCGGGCGCGATCTCACCGCAACATCTGGGGAGCGTAGAGCTCCCGTGGCTGTTCCATGGCTACCGCCCGAAGCCGCGCAGTAAAAAACTAGTACCTCCAAGGTACTAGTTTCCGGGAACTGCGCAGCAAGGGCGGGCGCCTGATCGCGTCCCTGCCGGGCTTCCGTGGCATCCGGCACGCGCCGGGTGGTTCCCCCCCATGCCTCCCG